TTGTTGTTTGTCCTTGTCTGTTGTTGTATGTTGTCTGCTGCTGCTGCTGCTGCTGCTGCTGCTGCTGGTGTGCATGCGGCAGTGGTTCTTCCGGCACCGACGTGTCGGCCGCGTCGTATATGCGGGGCGCCGGCGAGGTATCCCCGTCGTCGCTCCTCTCGCCCTCCGCCGCGCTGGCTGTGTCCTCGAAGGCCTCCGTCAGGGAGGTGCCGTTGAAGCTCTCCAGCGACTGCAGGGCGACGATAACCTCGTCCTCCTCGCTCTCAAGCGGCAAGTCGACGTACAGGTGCCTCAAGATGACGAGGTCGTACAGTCCGCGCATGACGGTGCCCACCCCCGCGACGGGGTTGGCGGACACGTCCAGGTACTCAAGCTGACGGATGCCGGAGAGGTCGCTTGGCAGCCCCGTGAGTTTGTTCCTCGCCAGTCGCAGGGCCTTCAGCCGCGGCATCCGCGACAGCAGTGGGAGGAGGGGCTCGAGCGACTCCAGCCCAAGGCCCTCCAGGTTCACCTGGGCCGCCCCCAAGTCGGCGTTGATGATGCTCTCCGCACGAGCTACGGCCATTCTCGCCCTTGAGGCGCCTGCGCGCCACGAAAACCAAAGGACTAAAGGAATTCAAACAAACCGAAGGACGCGGCAGTGGGAGTAGGAAGCCAACAGCAGAAATAAGAACACAGATTGCACAGCATTGCATAACGTGCACGCCCATAAAGGCAAACCGTTGCTTGAATCGTCTATACAGAGGCACACATGCCTTTTGACGCGGGAAAAACAAAAGCAAACAACAACGCCCACAACAATGCGTTAATCTAATCCCTTCCATATTCCACCCTCTTTCCTTACTGCCTAGGCTTTTGCAGTGATGCTAGCTACTACGCAGGGGTATCGTGAACTTCACCCACGGTCGGTGCCTCTTTTGCCACATACAGGTACAGTGGCACTGAGGATTGCACCGTGATTTGTCGCCGGCAGAACGGACAGATGGCGCCGTGGGAATTGGACTTGATCCAATCCAACAGGCAGCGCCAGCAAAATATGTGGCCACACAACGTTGCCGTAGGCTGCTTTCGATGGCTCAGGCACAGCATGCACCTGCCCGCCGCCGCGTTTTGATTGTCCTCCGCGTCACTGTCCTCAACCTCCCGTTCCCCCTCCTTCTTCGCCGCGTCATGCTGAGAGTCCTGCAGCCGCGCCAGGCTTCGCTGCTCCATGTAGCGCCAGAGCCGAACCACCAACTCAATCAGCACCAAGATGCCCATCAGAAAGTACGTGTGGGGGGCAGCCTGGTCATTCCGCATCTTCCGCGACGGCACAAGGCTCAAGTAACGCACGCCTACACAGCGGTGGGAGAGTGTCCCGTACGCTTCAAATAAAAAGAGCAGCATCAAAGTAAACTTCTGTACGTTGGAAATAACATCGTGCGGCGGAACGGAGGGAAATGCTTTCACGGCAAACTTAAAAACTAGCACGGGCTCTAGCGCAAGCAGCAGCGCGAGAAGCAACTTTCGGGTGATGCCTATGAGTCGTGAGGGGCGGCCACGGGTGACAGGGAGAAGGTCGCAAAACTCCTCCCCGAGCGTCTGCCCACAGAGGAGGGACGAGGCAACGTACAGCCCCTTTGCCAAGTTCCTCAGGCAGGAGTCGTAGCGGTTCGTGAAGCGCGCCCCGAAGAGCGCCGTCGCCAGGTCGGTGAGGGGGCGCGTCACGCGGTCGTCAAGGAGGTGCTCGTCCTTGTAGAGCGCACGCAGGATGTACGGCGCGGTCGCAGGCTGCATCCCACCCCCCAACGGGAAAATACACCAACACACAATATACTTTTTTTTTCCTTTTAAAAAGATGGGGGAACGAACTCCTGCAATTGCCCCCACGACGAAAGAGACTCTGCCGCAGTGCATCACAAGAGGGGAAGGGAAGAAACAGAGTACGAGAAAGAAAAGGAACAACAGAAAGAGGGAGGAAACAGTGGGGGAAGACCGCACATGGAGCCTCAAGGCCAGGGCGCCGCAGGCGACAGCGTCCACGGCGAGATCCGCGACGCGAGAGATTCGTACACGAGCAAAGCGGGAAGCCGCACACACGCACGCAAAAAAAACGGGGCGAACCGGCAACTGTGAAGTAACGTAACGGGGCTGGCACACGCACTTCCCTTCTTCCTTTTTTTTTTTTACTCTTTTTTT